ACGCGCACCCCCGCCCCGCGCCCGCGCAGACAGAGACACAGAGGCGGCTGCCGGGGCTGTTTATTGAGCGGGCGCCGCGGTCACACGGAGGTGCCTTCGGCCGGGGGCCCGGGCTGCGCCTCCTTCTTGTTGTCCTCCGGCTTCATGGCGGGGAACAGCAGCACCTCCTGCGGAGAGGGGCACTGTCAGCGGGCGCCAGGGACACAGACCCCTCGGGCAGCCCGCGGTGCCCGAGGGGGGTGGGGGCTCAGCCCCGCACCGCACTCTGCGGAGGGTTCTAGGCAGGTGAAAGAAAGGAGGGCTTTGTCTTAAAAGCACCTCAAACGGCTACAGTGTCACCTGTTTTGTCAGAGAGGAGGCCTGCTGGGCCGAATCTCATCCCGCCCCTGACAGAGCCAGCAGCAGGCACTGGCACCTCTAACCTTCACCTACCTTGATGTTGGTGGAATCTGTGAGGAACATGGTGATGCGGTCGATGCCCATGCCCCAGCCAGCCGTAGGAGGAAGGCCATACTCCAGCGCAGTGCAGAAGTTTTCATCAATAAACATGGCTTCATCATCACCTGCAGCTTTGGCCTAAACAGGAAAATCAATAGTATGTGGTGGGTTGTGCAGAGCTAGACAGGTTCTGCTAACCTACCACAAAGGGGGAGTATGTATTTGTAGCAGCCATGTGACTGATGAAACCAAAGCTCTGTACAGCTGCATAAGCAATAGAAAAAAGAATTTCAGCGTGAAGAGAACTGTGGAGGTCACCTGTACAGGTGCCTCCAAAATGGCTCCAGGCTCAACTCGTTCTGATCAGCTAGTTTCCTTTCTAGACAAAGGCCCAGGCTCTTCGCTTCAGTAAAAGCTAATCTCCAAGGCTGTATGGCAGCAGATGACAATGGAATAAATTGGTTTCAAAGGCTTCTCAGGTTCAGATTCAATTGCTTGCAATCCACCCTTTAACATTTCCAGAAACAACTAAGATACATAATTATTTGAATCGTCAGTAGTTGCTCCATGAAACAAAGGCCATCATATCTCCCCCTCAAGAAGAAAGACTTAAAATCCTGACAGATGCAAACTAATGCATCTGACCCTGACAGCCTCCAGCCACCAAAAACCATTTTGAAAACACCAAGTGTAATTGTTGAAACAAGAGCAAACTGTTTTGCTCACAGTTTCAAGAAAGACTTGTAAGACTTTGCAAAAGATGTTAAAGCAAACTGTTCTGCCCAAGTCTGAAATGCTGAAATATGAACTGCCGTTGTTCATCTCTGTCTCTACCTTAACATTACATTGTCAAGTATATCTTCATTCAATTCATCTAATCATACATCTGCAAAGTCTGGCCATAATCATGGGACAGCTGCAGCAAACACATATCCAACAAACCAAAGGTGGAATAAATCTGTAATATTAATAATTCTGACTGAACATTTCAAAATTTACTATCAACTAAGTTAACACAAGCTTCATTTTCCTAGTTTTGACAACTGTTTAATTCTCCCAAGCACTGTGCAGCCTTTAGAAAGTGCATGAAGAACACAAACTCTGTTTCTGCAGATCCATCATCTGACCTCAGTCATGTGTGGGCACATCTGCATACATGGATGTGTAGACCTAATTAATAACAAAATCAGGTTCAGTCACTTCTTTCTGATGCTCATCCAGAGAAACCTTGTTCCATAAATTTGCAGCTCTAATAATTTCCAGGCTGCAGCTCTGTTCTGTGAGCCAATTTAAAACAGTCATAACACAGTTCAGGAAATTATGCTGTTTCGTACAAACCATTCAAATTCTTACCAGACACAAAAATTTATTTAAGAACCTAGAAGTATAACATTGTATAACTCCATAAATACTCAACTGGTGAAAAATAACTTTCAGCCTAATCAAGACAGAAAAACCGTTTTGCACATTTGCTTTTTTCAGATTAGTATTTCAGGCAGAATAAAAAGGAAGATACTCCAAAACAAAGTCACACTACTAAAAAACTAACCCACAGCAGCACTTGGGCTTGTTTAGCTTAAAGAGAGAGGTTCTTTCAAAAGAAATTAGATTCTAACGCAGGTTCTCACTTGAGTGAGAAGCACTCACTCAAAGCAGTATCAGCTCCTTTTAGCAGTCGAGTCTAATGACAGATTCAGAATAGACACAGGAACTATTCTCTCTTATGTGCCTCTGTAACTGAATCACTATCTGCAAGACACAATACCTTGGCCTGGTCCTCAAAAAGCTGCCGCTGCCGGAAAGGATCGTTGAGCTCTGTGTAGGCATTGCACACCTCCTTCTTCATCACAAAGAGCTCAAAGCGCTCTGTCAGCCCCTGGTGAGAGCGATGCCTACGTGAAGAAGACAAAACAACCATACCTTAAACCAGCAAAGAGCACACACATTATTACTTCAGGAGGATTGCCCACAGGAGCAGTAACAGCTGTCAGAAACACCAACTACTAAGCATCAGCACATCACTTCCCTGGATTATGACTGTCACAGCTCAGCAACCAATGTCTATCTTAGTTTGTGTCAGAATTCACAAACTAGTACACAACATCAAAATATCTGTATTCACGTGTGACTTTATCTTTTTTTTTTTTCTTTCTGTTTAATAAATTAAGAGTAGAGGATTGACAAGAGTTACACACTGACTGCATCTCATACTTCTTACCACTTGGCCAGAGGACTCATGATCTGTGGGTGATCACAGATGAATGTAGGGTTGATGCAAGTCACTTCAAGGAATTCACCAACTAACTGGGAAAATAAAAACAAAAGAATCATGCAGAGTACAGTATCACTTTCCTAACACTGCCTTCCCCAAACATCCTACTTCCCTCTCTTCACTACTGAACAAGGCACTGTAAAACTGAAGAGTTTCCCAACTAATAATTCCTGATCATAGTAATCTTTCAACAGAGTGGGTGTCCTAGTTGGGTAAGAAAAAACAACATAGCAAAAACTGTATAAAAATAACAACATAATTAAATTTGGACATTACAACAAAACTCATGGGGAAAGGCAGCAGAAAATCAGCTACCAGGCAGTATTTTGGGTATAAAGAAAAAGACTGTGCAGTTGATAGAAGAACTATATGGTAAGTGTACCAATTTGGTAAGGTACATACAAATGCACCAATCTTGCCAACAAACCTATAATAGGCTAAAGCAAATCTGCTTTAAGCACAAGAGACCCGTAATCAAACTAAAATTCTCTGGCACTTCTATCGAGCAGGCATCAGTAAACTATATTTTAGTGTACACACTTTGTGACACAAAGAAACATTTCGACACAGCAAGTTTTCACACTGTGATATAGAAATAGCTGAAGTGCACTTCAGCACGTTTTCCCACATGCACCTTAACTTGCTCTGAAGAGACTCCTGTTGATACAGACAGATCCTCAGAGACATTGGGGATTACAAAAACACCAACTTTACTTACTCTGTCAAGAAGCCTGGCTGTTGTCCTGGGAGGTGGACACTCAACGTTTCTCTCTGCACAAAGGGCATCAAAGAACTTGCGAGTTTCTGTAATTGTTATAGGCAAAAATTAGAAAAGCCACCCAGGCAACCGTGTTTTTTTTCTTTCTGCATACTTCTGTGGGTCTCAGACTGACTAGTAAGATCTTAATGTGACCTGGTTTGAGCCAGGATGAAGCAAATTTTCCTTTTACTGATTTTCTTTTTTTTTTAATTTCAGTAAGCTCTTTTTTAACTGGCAGCAAGTGTTCCAGCTAGTGGACTGATAACACCATGAGCTTAAATGTCAATCTACAAAAGCAGTGTTTGTTTTTCATCAGTTTAGACTAAAGTGTAAGTTATTTTAAATTTCAGAAATTTCAGAAATTAGGCACAACCCTGTTCAACTGTAGGATATTATTATCTGGGGTGGGGGGGAATTAAAAAAAAGTCCCTAAAAAGTATATCAATTTGTTTCCTTATGGCTCTGGATTCCAGAATTAAAACAGCACATACAAAGATTCTGAAGAAAGCCCAAAATAACTGTACTCCTAACCAATGATAACAGGCATGGAGACTCAACTGCACAAAAGACAGAAGAAATAAAAAGCTGAGTCTCTTCAACAGATCAAAGATCTCTATAGCATATATAGCATATAGCATCACAAATACTCAACAAAGGAAAAGACAAGAGCACCAGACCCTGCCAATGACCGCAAGGCACCAAGGCTTCTTTCTGAACTCTTAGGTAACAGACAAAATCAGAGGAAATTGATGCCATGTGTTCACACAGCCTCAAAAAAGCAGCTGGTAAGACACCAGGCTGAGAACTCAAGACCTTTTTCCCCACTTTCTGTTAAGGAAGAATTATATGATACTCATGCTCAGAATCTAACCTTCGGTTTCAAAACACTCAGCTGATGGAAACTTCACTCCCAGGACCTTTTCCAGATCACACACCATGCTAATCCGCCGGAAGGGAGGGGTAAAGTCTATCTCATAGGCCTGTCCATCTTGACCATCTGGATGGTAAGTGATCTTGTAACTTCCAGTAATATGTTTCACCATCCCTACAAAAAGAACCTGAGGTTTAGAAGAACAGTATGCCCCATAATATGCAATTCTTCTGGAGATTCCTTTTCTTTTTTAATTAATATGGCACATATTACCTGAAAGCAACTTCTCTGTAATTTCCATCAAGTCATGGTAGTCTGCATAAGCCATATAGAACTCACAAGTTGTGAACTCAGGGTTGTGAGTCAAATCAATTCCTTCATTCCGGAACTGACGTCCGATTTCATACACTCTGTCCAAGCCTCCAACCACCAACATCTAGACAAAAGGAAATTCTAGTAATCACACTAACTTTTATAAAAGAACTAAAGGGAGCTCAAACATACACACAACTGCAATGTGACCTTGCAAATGTCATTCAAGATACATTTTATTTCCTCCAACCAAATAAGTCCAATTTCTTCATGAATAATCCTTGGTTTAGCTATGTTGATTTTTCTAGAATAAGATCACAATGTCTGAAGAATATAGGATTAGCCACAAGGGGCTTGTATTTTACCTTATGGTAAAGCTCTGGAGCAATTCTCATATATAAGTTCATATCCAGTTCATTGTGGTACGTGATAAAAGGTCTTGCCACAGCTCCACCTGGAATTACATTCATCATAGGAGTTTCAATCTGTAAAATATTAACAATTTAAAAAATAATTTAACAGTAGCATTAATATTTCCAGGCTCCTACCTCAATGCCCTGCTTTCATCTAATTGGTTTCCAAAGCAGAACTGTGTAGATCAAGCAAACAAACAACTTTGATGAAAAATCTCTGTATTTCATTTCTTGTTTGACAAAACCAATTCAGAGGTAAAGAGCACTTCACCCACGCAGACAATAGAGACAAATTACTTAAACTATTTATTGTTATCAAGAATCATTCGTATTTACTACAAACTACGAAACTATCTCTTTATGTTGCAGAACATGAGGTTCAACAAGACCAAGTACACAGTCCTGCACCTGGGTCACAGCAATTCCCAGCACCAGTTCAGCCTGGGGGATGAAGGGATTGAGAGCAGCCCTGCAGACAAGGACTTGGGAATACTGGTGCATGAAAATGGGACATGAACTGGCAATGTGTGCTTGCAGCCCTCAAAGCCAACTGCATCCCAGGCAGCACCAGAAGCAGCTTGGCCAGCGGGTGGAGGAAAGGGGTTCTGCACCCTACTCAGCTGGCATGAGGCCCCACCCCCAGACCTAGAGTCCCCAGGACAAGAAAGAGCTGGACCTGCTAGATTGGGTCCAGAGGAGGCCAGGGAAATGGTCAGGGGCTGGAACATCTCTCTGGTGAAGGCAGGCTGACTACTGGGTTGTTCAGCCTGGAGGAGAGAAGGCTCTGGGAAGACCTCCTTGCAGCCTTTATTATGTAAAGGGAGCCTGTAAGAAAGGCCCAGGGAGACTTTGTACAGACAAGGAGTGACAGTTTGAAACTGAAAGAAGGTGGATTTAGACTGGACATAAGGCAGAAATGTTGCACTGTGAGGGTGGCAAGGCACTAGAACAGGTTGCCCAATGGCTGGTCCTGTCCAAAGCAGGGGGCTGGACTAGATTATTTTTAAGCTACTTCCAACCCAAACCATTCTGTGATTCTATGATAAAATCCACTTGGTGAAGAGAGGTAGCTGTTACATAAAATGAACGAGATGTGGCAGCCTTCCTCAGTATCTTTTCCAAATCATTGCTTACAATGTCAATTCTGTAGTGTAGTCTTTGTAGCAAAGCTGTTAAGCAGCAATCCTGAAATAAATTAAATGCCACAGATATCTGAAGTTTTGAAAACCTGAACAATTTTAATAATACTGCTTTTTGGGAAATGACCTTATATGTGTCTGGGGAATGCTAGAGTCCTACTGAATTAAAACTAGGTATTTCTTTGGAAATTGAGGAGAAAAAAATATTTAAACCAAACCACTGCAGGCTTCAGTAAGTTAATTTTGTTCATATCATTACAAACTTTTTTTTTGCAGAAGTTGTATTTTCTCAGATGTTCAGAAGTTGACTGCTTATGCTTCAAGCAATACACACTATCAGCTACACGAGAAACAGACCTCAGTTCAATGTCTCTTGATGTTGAACAAAGAAAGCAGCTGCAAATGATGGAAAAACAGAGTAGTGGAGTGATTTACAACTCAAAACGTGGCTTCCTACACAGAGAGCTGGTGGAAGTAGTCAAATTATTTCTTAATTGTTCCTGTTGGCTGTGCCTCCTCACACCTTAGCATCAAGAATTAATGCCCCGCTACTGACCCAGAAGCATGAAAACAGGTATTTGCACAAGAGGATTTCACAATTTGTATCACAACTACTGATAGCATACAGGAGGAGCACACTTCTATGAAACAGAATGAGACTCGGGGCTCCTTTGAAAGAGCAAAGGTCAAGGGGGAAAAAAAAAAGTCAATGTGTGATAAAATGAGAACAAGCATGCAGCTACAATTTTAAAAAGAGAAGAAATTTTGTAGGCTATAAATATAGCTCCCTAAACAAACACCTAATAGGATTCTCTAAAGACATCAGCAGTATAAAACAAGCTGAGCTACTCGAATCAGAAGTTTAATTGGTGACGATTTAGTAACAAGCCCTGACAATCAGCTGAACAGCATGATACAATACCCACAACAGTCTGGCTAATTTTCTCAACATGAACCAGTATCTGTTTATGCACGACATTGCCACACGCAGTACGGGTATGGTTGAGCACTGCCTGACTCATGCACCTCCAGGCTGCACTCGACTGTACAGCCCTGACTTCTCTGCCTGCTATTTTGCCCCAACATCCTCTCCAAGCCTAAGTAACTTACTCCATTATTCCAACAAGTGAAAATTTCATATAAATTGAGAAGGAATTTATGGTCCTTTTTCTTAAGTTACCAGAATGTTACAATCTTCAAGTACTAGATTAATAATTATTTGTAAAAAAAACAACCAACAAAAAAACCCAACCAAACAAACCTCACTCAAATCAAATACAGACACTGAAGCCATTAAACCAACGACAGAGGGGAACCCAGCACAGGTTCAGATTCCCACTGCTCTCAAAACACTGGTAGCTTCTGCAGATTCAGCTGATAAACACTTGCAAATACACTACAGCAACTTGTAATCTTTTTGCTAACTATAAAGTACAACCAAGAGTGCAGCTGAGCTAGTATTATTTTCTCATATGCTACTCCACAACAGATCTTAAGATAAAACCAATTTTACTTAGAGGGAGTCAGACTTGTACTTACATCCAGAGGCAAAACACCATTCCAAAGATGTTACTTTCACTTTCATTTACTGAAATAAGTAAAGTACAACCAAGGGTAGAGCTAAGCTAGTATTATTTTCTCATATGCTACTCCACAACAGATCTTACAATAAAACCAATTTTACTTAGAGGGAGTCAGACTTGTACTTACATCCAGAGGCAAAACACCATTCCAAAGATGTTACTTTCACTTTCATTTACTGAAATAAGTAAAGTACAACCAAGGGTAGAGCTAAGCTAGTATTATTTTCTCATATGCTACTCCACAACAGATCTTACGATAAAACCAATTTTACTTAGAGGAAATCAGACTTGTACTTACATCCAGAGGCAAAACACCATTCCAAAGATGTTACTTTCACTTTCATTTACTGAAATAAGTAAAGTACAACCAAGAGTGCAGCTGAGCTAGTATTATTTTCTCATATGCTACTCCACAACAGATCTTACGATAAAACCAATTTTACTTAGAGGAAATCAGACTTGTACTTACATCCAGAGGCAAAACACCATTCCAAAGATGTTACTTTCACTTTCATTTACTGAAATAAGGACAGTAGTTTGAAGTCCTACCATCATAAAAGTTTCCCAAGCCACAACCTCACCAACTGAGGAATAGTCTTAAACTTAAAAAAAGAGAAATGGCTCCTATTACATTAACCTGATAAAATACAGCATACTGAGGCAATTATCCTCACTTCTGTCAATATTTTGCACATGAGCCTGAATAAGAAGCATCCTTGAAGCTGAAAAGCTCTGAACACACTCAGTACGCAGAGAGGAATGAAGCGTTACCTCAAGGAAGCCCAACTCATCCAGAAAGCTTCGGATGTAGGTAATGATCTTTGCACGGGTTATAAATTTCTGCCTCACGTAATCATTAAGAATTAAATCCAAGTATCTCTGACGATACCTAGTTTCCTGAAAAAAACAAATATAGTTACAACAAGCTAGACAAAATGCAGTGCCAAAGGAAAAAAATACCAAAACAAAACTCATGCTCCTTTGTTGACTGACACCACCAGCAGATATAAAAGGTCATCCATTCAGACCTACTGGTCAGATTGCCTCCCAAGAGTGACCAGGTATGACAAGTACCTTATCTTTGAGGCCAAAGTGAAGATGAGGCAACATGTGCAGGCATGGAGACAAAAGAGTTATTTCATAAGGAATAATGCTCAGTTCCCCTTTCTTTGTTTTCCCAGGATTCCCCTTTACACCAATAATGTCCCCACGACGCAGCTTGTTGTTAATACGGAAATACTCTTCCTCAGATTTGTAGAGCCTGTAATTACAAACACTATGTAAGCAGTTGTGTTTAAAACTCAGCATTCCAAACTGTTCTGTAAGTCTCTGCCCAGACCAAATACTTCAAAAAGCAAAACAAGTCCTCTAAGCAAAGAAGCTGCACACAAAGTCCTAAGCAAAATGTGAGCTGGCTGCCTAAGCCAACCCACAGACAAATATCCCAAGGAGATGAAGGCACAGAATGCCCAAATTCAGATCTCTAGGCCCCAGAACACAGCTCAGTTCACAATGCTACTGGGAACACCTCTACTTACTTGGAGTTTGCCATGACCTGCAACTTGACTCCTTCTCCACGAAGATCGTAGAAGATCAGCTTCCCCCCAGAGGCACGCTTCGCGTGGATTCGGCCTAAATACCAAAGCATGCAGGAGATCAGGAAGAGCATCCCTAGCAGAAAGGATGCAGGGGCAAAAGCCACAGTATTGTCACTTGGTCAAAGGACTGTCGGCTCTGAACCCATCACTAACCATGAAAGAGAAGCAGTTAAAAGACTCAAAACTAGTAACTGCACACAATATCAGACCATATGAACTTTGGGTTCTGGAGCCCATGTCACAATCTGATCTTGTAGTTGAAAGGGATGACCCACTCAGCCTGAAAGGATGTGTCCTGGAATAGTCTAACACTGCTATAGACTTCATGACCAAGGAACAGGGGATCAACAGCATTTGAAAAGAGGCTACCCCATCACTAAAAGCAGCTAAGACTTGGCTTAGTGAAGCAACAGACCATCTTTCTGAACCCCAGATAAGCCTTTACCTGCCACTTGCACTGTAACATCTGTCAGGTGATCTCCTGGCTGCAGGTGGCTGTACTTCTCTATGAAATCTGAGAGAGATATGTCTACATGGAACTTGTGGGGATAAGGATCTTCATTGGTGCCCTTCAGCTGCTGGATCGCATGGCTACGGATCTTGTAGTATTGCTGTCACGAGAAAGAAAGAAAACCAAACAATTTTGCTGGAAACTTGACATATCTTACAGGTTGTAAATTAAAACACAGCAGCTCTTAAAAAGGGCTCTCCCCTTTTAACCATTTAGTTCCCCTTGAATAAAAAATCCAGTGTACATCTGTAACATTTATTCTCAGAAGCATAACAAGCACGAGGCCAGAAGCTCACATTTGGATCCAAGCTTTCTTCATCCAAACCAGTGCTGTTCTCGGAGTCAGAAGCCAAGGAGGGCTTACTTGAATGCTTTTCACTTTGCTCTTTCTGCTTTGCCTCTTTTTCAGCCGTTTTTCTCTCAGCCTTCAAACGCCTCTTCAGCTCACTGCAAAACGGACAGAAGTGTCAGAGTATCTTTGCATCTGGTCTAACAACCGGGAAACACCCGGCAGGATTCCACCCAAAACCTCATTATACAAATAAGCCTGTCACTTCTCTGCCCAGAAGTCAAAATAATCCTTAGGCATATTTAATAATTTTCTTATCTGAACTCTTTTAGTTCGTTTCCTACGAGACGCAAATGCCTGGATAAAGTTAAAACTGAACTCAACATTCCGCAGACAGACTGAGAAGGCGCCCGAGGCACCCGCAGGTCAGGCAGCTCCGCCGAGCTCGAGGGACGCAGGACAAACCCTCCGCCGGGACGCGGAGGCGCTACCTGGGGCTCCGCAGCCGCCTTCGCGGCC